CGTGGCGGGGGGGGGGGTGTGGAGCAATTGGTCCCCAGTGCCATGTCTCGGAGCCTACCTGTGACAAGCAGCGGAGGCTCTGTAGCAGCTCCTGAATCCTCCATGCTCCTGGCCTAACTTCCTTGGGCCCTGGGGGTATTTATAGGGTGGGGAGGCGTGGCCGGAAGGGATGAGTCAATTGCAGGTGACACAGAAGCGTCTGGGCCCCGGCGAAGGGGGCAGTGGGATGGGGCCTGGCTAGGGGCAGGCAGGGGGGAAATCATTCACCGCCCACCCCACTGCTGCTGGGGGCATAGTCCAGGAGGGAGTGGGGACACAGCTGAGATACCCTGGAAGGGGTAGAGGGTGGGCAGTGGGGGTGAGGAGTGATGCATCGTGGGATGCCAGGAGGACTGATCGGCCCACTGTTCATGAGTCAGTATGTGATTTTTTCCAGGGCTGCTTCTGGCCCTTTCTCAGCAGGTTGGAAACAGCTCACCCGGCCTGTAAATTTATTAAACCACATTGAATCTGGATTAAAGATGTCCCTGCAGTTTCATACCCTGTGAGCCCTGTTGGTTGATGTCCCCTGGTTCCCCCAGCCCCTGCCACCCAGTGGCCGGACCTGTCCCAACTGGCCCTGTGTGTCTGCTCTTTACCCTGGATTAAAATCCAGGGGGAACTAATCCTGCCACGCGGCTACAGTTTTTACCCACAGGGGCTGGGATTTAGTGCTTGGGGGGGGGGGAGGGAGGGGGGTCTTTGCACCCCCCTGAGGGCCTAAGTGGCCCATGTGCCCTGCGCTGGCCTCGGGGGATCCTAGAGACTGGCGGCCAGCTAGTTTCCCATACTGTGCCCACTGCACAGTTAGGAAGGGAACCTGGGCGTCTCGGTTCCTGGGCTTTGTTCCAACCCACCAGGTGCCGCTCCATTTCCCCCCCACCAAAAAAGGACCCAGGAGTCCAGGCTAGCCCGCCCGGGGCGGGTCTCGAACCCTCAGCTCCACATTGGTTACTTGAATGTCCTGCGCCGCCTGGCGACAGGATGGAGCAGGCTCTACGCATGCTCAGTACCGCACAAGACGGGGAGGGTGTGGCAGGCTTAGTGTATGTTTCGTACGGTATGAGGAGGTAGGCTGCGCATGCTCATCATGTTCGGTGAAGCCAAAGCGGTGCCAGGACCTTTGGGCCCGCCCCCCGTGAGGAGAAGCTGTTCGGGGCGGCGGGTCAGAGCTCGGCGCTCTCGGCACGACTGCTGGCGTGGGGGGGCAGTCCTGGCAACGGGGCAGGCTCATGCGCATGCGCTGTGCCGCTCCAGGCCCGCGTTTTTCTCTTTTCCCGCTTCTACAAATTGTGTTTCTTTTCTTTCTCTCACGTTTATTCATCCTCATACTGTTTATCTGTCTGCCCATCCATCCCAGTGCACTCTCCATCCACTGTGACTGCTCTACGTGCACACCCCCCTACACCCCTCCCCAGGTGTCTGGGATATATCTGCATACACACAGGCACACAGACGGGGAACCTAGGCGCCCAGGATACACATGTGCATATGAACAGAGTGTGCACACATGGAACCCAGGCGTCCAGGACACGTGCACATGTACACACATGGAACCCAGGTGTCCAGGACACACATGCGTGTGCACACACACACAGCAAACTCAGGCATCCAGGACACACATGTGCACATGCATACACACAGAGAACCCATGCATTCACGTCGCACATGCAGGTTCACACACACATGCGCATGCACACACACAGAACCCAGGTGTCCAGGACACATGCGTGTGAACACACACACAGAACTCAGGCATCTGGGACACAGAAACACTCCCCCACCCAGGCATCCAGCACAGACATATGCACATCTGCTCCCAGGCATCCAACATGCACACGCACAGAGGCATCTGATGTGCACGTCCCCTGATATCCCATGTGCACACCTGCAGAAGCACACACAAGTGCACACCTCCAGGCATCCCCCTCTGCCCATCGCCTCACACACACAACTCAGGCGTCTGTCACAGCCCTCAGGCATAGTCACACACACACAAGCGCACCCCCCCTGCGCCCTCCCGTGGCAGTGGGGAAGTCCAGCACACTCATTCAGCAAGCTGCCGTTACGACAGCCCCAAAAAGCCCAGGCAGTTCCGATAACGAAAGAGTTAATCACACATGTGCGCACACACACACACACACACACACATACATGTACCCTCAGGCCTGGGGGGGGCAGGCACTCCGGAGATGACTCAGGCCCTGTGAGCACTGTGCCCCATGTGTAGTGCTAGCAACCACAGAGCCCTTTCTGCGCGTCAGGAGATGATGTGGGGCTGGGGCTGTCGGAGCTGAGTGCTTGCTGCTAGCGTGGTAAGTGCCAGTCAGTCAGGTGGGTGGACAGGATGGGGTAGCCGGGACATGGCCTCTTGCTGGTGGCTGAAACAGCCGTGCCTCTCACCCCTGGTGCTTGGCTGTGCCTCTCTGAACCCTGGCGACTGCAGTGGGACTCTCGGGCACAGGGGGTTTGTGGGGGATGTGGTAGTGGGGAGCAGTGGTGAGAGGGGTAGGTGGCGGTCAGTGTGAGACAGCGTCCCCCCCCGAGCTCCTCGGAGCCAGTGTCTGGCAGGACTGGTTCAACCATTAGGTGAAGTAGGCGGTCACCTAGGGCGCCAAAATTATATACAGAACAAAATAACAGGAACATTATTCTACATAACAGCCCTGGTCAGCTACAGCTCCACCTTGGTCTAAAACCTTTGGTTTGGTAAGAGGAGAAAGACCTCTGAAAAGATCTCAGAGGAAAGATCAGTAAAATTGACCACCATCACAGCTAGAACTCCTGTAAAAGTTAATTCTAGACTTCTTATTTTCCTCTATATTGGAAGTGGTGGGGACAACGAGGTACACAGTTCACCTAGGGGTCCAATTACCCTTGAACCGACCCTGGTGTCCAGCCCTGTCAACCCCCTTTCCTTATACCCTGGCTTCATTGGTCTTGCTCTTCACAGCATTGCGAGACCCCCATTGGCCCCTGGCATGGCAGAGCTGGAAGTGGAGGTCTCCAGCACCTGCGCCAGTTCACGCCATGTTCTCAGCTGCCCGGTAAAGTCGATGGCTATGAGCACTAGCCAGAATCCTTCCACAAGTGCTCTCCAGTGGGTGGTTGGCATGTGGGACAAGTGGAAGAGTCCCTGGTATCTCGGGAGCACTGTAGGCCTTGATGGACCAGGCAGTGGGAGAGAAACGAGGGTGTTTGCTGGTGATCTCTTTAGGCAGTGGAGTTGGGAGGGAGGACGGACAAGGGTCTGGGTGCAGAGGACCCTTCCTGAGGTCTGACTCAAGGCCCTGCTGGTCTCCAAGCAAGCAAATCCATAAGCCTAGGATTATATGATCAGAGGGAAGTTGGGGACTGGAAGGGACCTCAGGAAGTCACCTCTCATCCAGACCTGTGAGCAGGGCAGGATCAGCCCTGACTAAACCACCCCAGCCAATCTGGATCCAATCTGCTCTTGGAAACATCCAAGGGTGGAAATTCCCCTCCCCTCTAGGAAGCTTGTACCTTTGCTGGACCCCCATCATGATCAGAAAGTTCCTCCTTATCTCCAGCCTCAGTTTCCCTGCCATTGCTCCCAGTCTGGGAAAAGCCTATCTCCATCCTCTCTGTTGTCACTCTTCGAGGGTTTGAAGATGGTTGTCATACCCCCTTGCCCCACCATTGGCTACGGGTGCTCATTATGTGTAAGGCAGGCATGGGCACTCCGGCAGCCTCAGCTTTCTAGCTGCAAGGTTGCACCCAGGTGGCAGGGGGTTTCCTGTGCATGGGCACTGGGGTGTTGGGGCTGGCAGCGGTCATGGCTGACATGTCGGGGGTCTCTTCTGTGGCCCCAGCACACGTATGGCTCAGCTCTGGGACTGGACTGGCAGAGCTTTAAGCTCTGGGCTTTGCTGGTTCAAGCCCAGCTCACGGTAGCCCTTTTGGCCCTATGCTTGCTTTCTGAGCAAGTCTGGGCAGGACATGTCCAACTTCCAGGTACATCTCCACACCAGTGAAGAAGCAGGTGCCCCAACTGCACTGCCCATGACTTCCCCTCTCTCTGACTCAGTTTCCCCATCCCCTAAGCTAGGGGCAACACCCCTTGTCCCTAGCACACTGCTTTGAGGTGTAGCCCTGAAAAGAGCTATCACAGCCAGTCTCACACTCTTTGCCCTCATCTGTAACTGTATTGATTTTCATACCACATGCCCAAATACAAGATCCACTATGTTTTGGGTAAGGCAGAACAATGGGGGAAGGAAGAAGATTCTCGCTCTTTGCTTAACTGTCCAGAATCAGACTTGTTGCCCCCTCTTCTTGGCTTGCTAAATTGCAGGGACAAGAGGTGTGTGATCAGTGAGTAAATAAGGTATAAATCCCAGGGCTGGTCTCCAGCGGGGCCAGCGAAGTAGCAGCCAAGCAGGTTTCTGCTGGATCTCAGGGAAATCTGCTCTGGTAGAACAGTGAGGCAGAGGAATAGATGCCCGGGGAGTCTGCACTCTCCATCACTAGAGGGGATCAAGAGGAGGTTGGACAGCCAGCAGTCAGGGATGATAGAGGCATAGCTTTGCCTGTGCTCTGCTATGGGGATTTCCCAGGTTTTGCTAATTGCCGCAAGGGGCTGAGAGGGAATTCCACGCCGAAGCCCCCTTCCTGCTATGTGTCAGGGGTTTTTTTCCCCTTCCCCTTGAAGCCTTGGGTGTTGGCTGCAGCCCAGGCTGGGGATGACGACTGGGCTGTGCCTGGGCTGGCGACTCGGCTGTGGAGGGTCCTGGCTAGAGGGTCTTGCCCCTCTGCTCAGGCCTAGACTGGCACTGCATGGGCTCAGGAAGGAATTTTACCTCCAGCTCAGATTGGTACAGCCTGGGGGTGGGAGCTGCCTTCCTCTGTAGCCAGGGCACAGCTTCTGCCTGGGATCCCTGGAGTGCCTGTTAACTACCTTTACAGCAGCAGGATGTTGGGCGCCACAGTCCCCCTGCTTTCCCTGTGGCAGGTTCAGGGAGATGTCTTGTGTCAGGGCTGACAGCAGTTTTGTTAGTTAGACAATAGGTTTGTCCAAGATGGTTTGGACAGGGCTGATCCTGCCTCAGGCAGGAGCCTGGACTAGATGTGACCTCCACAGGCCACTTAATTTCTCTACAACTTCTCTTCAGCTCTGCAATTTCTCTTCAGCTTAATTTCTCTACAACTCTATGACTATAGTGAAAAAGTCCTGGTCCTGTCTGTGCCGTAGCTTTCTCTGCCTGCGCTCAGGAGCAGGCCGTTGTTTTTGCTCTGGACTCTGTGTCCCAGAGCCCTCAAAATCTCCCGCATTGGCAGCCGCAGCGTAGCTCTCTCTCACATCCCGTGCGCTGGGCTCAGTGATGTAAGCTGATATTTTAATTCTCTTACAAGGAATGGTGTTTAGAGCAATGATTTAAGTGGATTACTCATCCGCTGTCAT